CAAACGTACTTCGTCTGTCTGAACGTATATCCGTGACCGCATTAGATGTTCTTGAAATGATTCTGACTTCAAAATTCAGAATATTGTAATCTTTACCAAACATTAGGCCTATTAGGGTGATCAAATCAAGTAATGTGAGATGCGGGGCCTATAGCACCCAAATTTTAGTCGAAAAATCAGAAATGACCACATGAGAGAAGTATAAATGAGGCGGTATTATCAAAATGGCTTAAAACTATAATGCCAGAGTATGAACTGGATTTAACTGTCTCAGGCCAGTGTCCAGTGTCGGGCTGTTGTGAACACGGTTTTAAAGCCTCGGGTCATTTCTTGACTAGTTGGGCATCAGCTTCTCTGCAGAAGGACTAAGAGTTGGTTTCAGTTGAAATGTAAGAACGTGTACTGTGTGACGCAGACAGTGGAACTGGACGCTGGCTCCATTCCGCCGGAGATGCTGGAGCTGAATGTCACGCGGTGTCGCGGAGAGCTACGCCTGTTGGCCGGCACATTCTCGCAGGTGTGGGCGTTGCAGCGGGTGCGTCTCAGCGACGTGGAGCGTCTGGTGGTGCGGCGCCACGCATTCCTCAACCTCTCGGCCCCGCACACGCTGCTCGAGGTCGTCGACTGCGGCAGCGCCGTCGTGGAGACGCACGCCTTCCGGGCCGTCCGCGGTCCTCTCACTGCCGTCATCTCTCGCTGCGCCCACGTCATCGTGCAGAACTCTGCCTTCTCCTGGATCCTCGCCATCACCGTCAAGGATGTCCCGCGACTCGAGCTGTTCAAACAAGCCTTCTCCTTCGAGACTCCAACCACGGTCGGGCGCCATGGACCAGCCGCAATGGTAAGAAGCGAACCCACGTTGAGAGGAATCGAAGTCCTCACAGACTAGAATCTGGGTTAGCTAGCGACAGCGTGATACTAGTATACGGTCCAACTAGGGATCGCACGCAAATTCTGCGGAGTTTCGCGAGGTGGACGGAAAAATCAAGAACCAACAGCCAATTTTCAATGACTGAACATACCAAATGGGATTTCAGTTTCTCACGGCGGCCAATATGAAGATGACTGTCTTCTGGGATGCTGCGCCGTGCAGTATGGTAGTAGTTTACCGACGTTTCAGAGGTGCTTACTGCCTCCATCATGAGCAAGCCGCGCGCACCGGTAAACTTCAGTTAAGTTCTACCATAGTACACGGCGCAACATCCCAGAAGAGTTTTTCTTGAATATATATGATGCGTCGGAGAAAGAAAACATGCAACTGACTTGGTCAATTTCATTCCTAAGAATTGCTGTACATAACTTATGTTATTCTGCGGAAAGTGATTTTAATATATGTTTGTATATTAGTGTGTTATTCGTTTATGGTTTAAGAGCCTTGATCAGCTAAGTGCTGCCACATTCACTGTACTGCTCAAACTGTTCGGAAAGAAATCAAAACAACTTAATAATCCAAATAAAATCTTACTACAAGTTACTGCTTAAAATTTCAAAATGTGCATTGGAGGGATTTTTGTTTGGCAGTCAGTTTCTAAAATGGCCAAGCAAAAAATATACTTTTCTCAGTACAAAAAGGCGAAATGCTACAATGAATATATGACAATCTCATGAGAGCAAATTCTCAAATTATCTTTCTTATGACAGCCAAATTCTCAGACTTCAGGCCCGATAAGATACGACATCCTCTGCCTCCACAGAATACAGATTAATATCTTCGGTGTGGAGGTGGGACTCCACGCGGTCCCACAGGAAACACTGGCCAGCAACACTTTCTGTACTCGTTGCTCCCCCCCCCTCTCTCTCTCCCTCTGGTAAAGATACCTCCTGAACCCGATGGATGTGTTGTCAGATCCAGTGTGCAAGTAAAACTCCTGA